TCCTCCCTCCCCTCTGCTCCCTCCTCCTCTTCCTCCTCCTCCTTTCTCCTCCTCCTCCTCCTTCTCCTCCTCCTCCTACTTCTGGTCCCCCTCATACTGCTGCTGCTCCCCCTCCTCCTCCTCCTCCTCCTCCAGCTGCTGCTTCTCCTCCTCATCCTCCTCATCCTCCTCCTCCTGCTGCTGCTACTGCTGGTTATGCTCCCCCTCCTTCCTCCCTACCTACCTACCTACTTCCTCCTGATCCTCCTCCTCCTCCTGATCCTCCTCCTCCTCCTGCTCACCTGTCCCACTTGACAGACAGTCGCTGCTTCCTTCTTGAAGAACTCAGAAAAAGTTCGCGCAGCTTTGGATGCCTCAGGCCATAGCACAACCGCAGACACGGTAGTCGAGGATCGGCCTTCGAGAATTTCTGCCGCCCAACAGCTCGCAAGCAGCAAGGAGGCTACTTGGATCATCATCGCATAGCCAAAGAGCTTGCTCCCTCTCCTCCTCTCTCTCCTCCTTGCTGCTCCTCCTCCTCCTCTCCCCCCCCTTCCCCTCCCCCTCCTCCCCTCCCGCCCACCATGATGCTCCCCGACAGCATCATCACCTACTGCGACCACCCCCGAAATCAAGACCCCTGCCTCTGTTTTCACTACCGGGTATTCCTATGTGATTTATTCTAAAATAAACCGGTAGATAAATTAGACCACCCACCCTCGAAAAGGCAAGCGGCCCCGTTCCGCCTGAGCTCACATCTGAATGGGGAAGGAGAGAGAGGAGGAGGAGGAGGAGGAGGAGGAGGAGGAGGAGAGGGAGAATTGAAGGAGAAGAAGAAATCATGCAAGTATGGATAGGTATGTTTGCATGAAATGGTCAAGGAAGTCAGACACGTAAGGACGCTGTTTGGTGAGAATGGTTCCAGCCACGTCGATGCGACCGAAGGTCGCAGTTTCATGATGAAGAGGACGATAGAAGAGAGAAAAGCGAACATGTAGGCTGGGAGAAGGATGTTAACAACTGCTGAAGGAAGGAGAGAGGCAGGAGCTGCAAGCATCAGCTTGCTGTGCTCCACTTGGACTGATCATCCTTCAGATGTTGGACTCCAAAACAATGAAGCTTTCATTCCTGACGCTCACCGTCCTGGCATCGCTCTCTTCCTCCTCCTGCTACCTTGGTGACTCAATGAGACTTGCCGTGCTGTCTGTTCTGATGACGGGCCGACAGCGACAAGATGTTGCGGCATCGCCAACGTCAGGAGCAGTGCCGGGTATGGCGCTGCAAAGAGGAATTGGGCTCTGACACCCGAACAGTAACTTTAGAGGAGACGACTGCAGGCAGCAAGGAAGGATCGGCCTCCTGACGTCGCTTTCCATGTAGCTCCTGCCTCCCTCTCCACTCTGCTCTGCTCTGCTCTGCTCTGCTCTGCTCTGCTCTGCTCTGCTCTGCTCTGCTCTGCTCTGCTCTGCTCTGCTCTGCTCTGCTCTGCTCTGCTCTGCTCTGCTCTCCACTCTTTCCCTCTCCTGCTCTTTCCCCTCTCCTGCCCTCTCACCTTGTTTCCTCCCCTTCTCTGTTCCTCCCGACAAGTTCCTCGCACTCAACGCAGGGACAGGAAAGACGAGAAGGGGGATCAGCGGAAGAGACGAGGAGGAGGAGGAGGAGGAGGAGGAGGAGGAAGAAAAAAGGCAGCGATGAAGAAGATATTCAAGCATAAGTGGAGATTGTTCAACGTGGATGTCACAGCAGATCAAGACCCAGGGAAAGATTTTCATGGGGCAAGCGAAGCTCTCCTCTCTGCTGTGAACAAGAAGGTGCTGAATGAACACTCCCCTCCTCTAAAGAACCCTCCCCTCCTCGCCTCGCCTCGCCTCACCTCTCTCCTCTCCTCTCTTCCGCCATCGTCTTATCTTCTGCTGTCTGTTTAGCTCGGGCTCGAAGCCGACCTTGTCGCCTCCGAAGATGTTTGCGTGATCCGCAAGAGTTTTGACGCGCGCAAGGGGAAGCGAAACGTGAGTTTATGTAGAGGAGGACGAGGACGAGGACGAGGACGAGGACGAGGACGAGGACGAGGACGAGGAGGTGGTGGTGGTAGTGGTGGTGGTAGTGGTGGTGGTAGTGGTGGTGGAAGAGGAGGAGGAGGAGGAAGAGGAGACTGACATGTTGCCTGTGGAATAGGATGGTCCTTCCTTCACGTATGTGGTGGACGTGGACATGGGTAAAGAGGGGAAGAGAATCAAAATGCACGCGGAGCAGGGGAAGCTGGAGAGAGTGAGCGAGGAGGAGGAGAAGAAGCAGGAGGAGGGGCACAGGACGACGACAGGGGACGTTGGCGCGAGCATGTGAGGCCTAGAGCTCGACAGGAGGAGGAGGGACTGACGGGGTCGTTTGCTGGGAACAGTGCGTCGAAGCACAGGCATCCTGTGGCGATCATCGGCTGCGGACCAGCTGGACTGTTTGCTGCTCTGAGACTTGCGGAGGAAGGAGTGGGGTGCGTTATCTATGAGAGAGGACAGCCAGTGGAGGAGCGAGGGAGAGACATCGGGGCGATGATACACAGGCGGCTGCTGGACCCTGACAGCAACATCTGCTACGGGGA